CGGTCTGCAAATCAAAGTTGGTCTTCAGTTCCTGGGTTTGTGGTTCCTGGGTCGTTAGCGAACAGCTGTAGTTTTAGAGTTAGAAAGGAACACAAGCAATGCAGTGTTTAGAGATTTTTATTATTATTTTGGAATTATATTAAGAAGGATCTTGCTAATGGTGACTTTAATTGGATCAAATCTTAAGGGCCTTATTGAGCTTCTACTAAGGCAAACTCCAGTTTTCTACCATGGGATTTTTCCCTTATTAAGGGCTGAGTAAAAACTTAGTAAAGACCTCAAGATTTGGTCATGGAAAAGGCTTTCTGTTTCACCCTTTTCACCAGCTCTTCCTTTCTCAAATAGCTGATGAAAAGGATGTCAAAATTTTGGGGCACATTTTAAACTCTTTGAAAAGATGCTCACACATATTCTGATTAACCATAGCATGCACCATGCTGACAACTTGTCCTTGAAGAACTGAGCAGCTATTCACATACAACTAAAATGAATGCAACCATCTTTTCACCTAAGGTTCTCTAATTTCCTGGCAGGTTTTCCAGAGACAGGTGGATGGTTCAGTGGATTTTTTTCCATGACTGGGAGTCATACAAGAGAGGTTTTGGCAACCAGCAGATGGAATTCTGGCAGGGGAACGACAACATTCACCTGCTAACATCTCATGGTAAGAAATCACAGATGCAATTTAACATATATATATATATATATATATAAAATCACCATGCCCTCCGTTTCCTTGGTAACATGGCACAGCGTGATGATGATATGGTAGCTTTATGTAGTGCTTTTCATCTGTAGATCTCAAAGTGCTTTACAAGGGAGGGTAAGTATCATTAACCCCACTTGGTGAATGGGGGTTTGAGGGAAGCAGAGATGAGGACCATATCTAAGTCCAAGTTGTGTATCCTGTCCACTGGACTATGCTGTAGTGAAACTGCTCCCAGAGTCACCACTGGCTGCTCCTGACACACACGCACACCTGCAAGGAAAAGTTTCTGAGAGAGATTACACTGGAGCTCTTTGGACTCCAGTCAAGGCTAGCTCACCTTAAAGAGCATTAAGTGAACAGATCTGGAGACGTACCAGTCCTTGTTACAGTGCGTAGGACAGAATATCTGTTGAACCATCGGTGCTAAGACAGGAGCTGTAATTGTCCCTTGCTGCTTTGTCAGTGGATTGGTTCTGGCAGAGGCCATAGGGAGATGGATGCTATAGATTCTGGTCACTTAGCTGGAGCGCAGATGTTAGCTATGAGTGCTGTTTGCTAATGGACAAGAGATATAGGGGTATGCAACTAGGTTATTAAAGGCATCCCAGACTGAGCATTCAGGGATAGGCTGGTGGATGAATGATGTACTAAACCCAGATGCTGAAAAATGTTAGTGGAACACGGAATAGCTGATATTCTTCCTGTTTTTAACAGGAAGTAATAAGCTGCGCATCGACCTCATGGATTCTGAAACTGAAGTATTTTGCCAAGTACAAATCATTCCAAATTTTAGGAGAATCTGAGAACTATAAACTGATTCTAGGAGACTTTCTCAATGGCACAGCAGGTAGGTGCTTGCTGGGTTTTACTGTGATCACAGCTAAGAAGGAATAGCAAATTCAGCTGAGATGTGCTGAAGTCTGGGGCAGCCAGCAAAGTAAATTCTGCCCTGTCTGCACAATCTGAATTTAGCCACTTAGAGAGGCACATGCTCAGGTTCAGATAAAACCCCTGAAAGTTCTGTCCCAGGCCCCTATTGGGAAGATGCCACCTTATGTACCAGTGGGTTAACAAACAGGATTCCTGGGCATCCCTCACACACATTGAGAACATGCTCTGAAATCTCCGACAGCTGGCTTCATTTGGGGGCAGTGAAATGCATTGGTGAGGATTCTCCAAAATCAAGAGGAAGAGCATCTCCTCTTCTCCCAGCGGGATAGAGCAACTTCTCAGTTCTATCCCTCTGATTACCCTGTGGGGTAATGAGCACCTCCCATCTCTCTCCTTCCCAGCAGTTCTCCCATGAAGACGGAGGGAACATCATCCCTTGGAACGTGGCTCCCAGTTTCACTCATCACTGAGGACCCAGGACACTGGTACCAATCACAGAAGTGCTCTTAAATCAAACCCACAGAACAGGAAGTACATCCTGTAGTCATTGCTGTGCTAGCTTTGCCTGGGCCCAGGGTCAAACCTGAACCTGCAGTGGTGGGTTTTGGTTCTGCCAAGAGCACAGACCCAGACTGGCTTCAGGTTTCTACATTTTCCATCTAGCACCTCCTGTCACCAGCCCCAAAGCCAAATCCCGTGGCCCTTACCCAGGCCAAAGTGTCAGGTCACACTGAGATTTTGGATGAATGAGGTCTGAGTACAAAGCTCAGGAACAAGGCCTCTGTTTAGAGGGGTTTGAAAGTTTTAGCCCAGTTTTGGCTTAAAACGTGGCCCAAAAATATCCCTTGGATCTGAACCACCAAAACTTTGGGGGTAGTTTGGAACTGGACTTTGTAGCTGGACTCATATCTGTAAAGGGATGAACCAAAATCTCTGATCCAAACTGTCTGAACTTGGGGAACACTTGGATTTGAAGCCAAAGTTTGTGATTTATGCCATCCTGGTTCTGGCCCTAGCTGTAAAGCTTACGGGTAGTTTTCAGGGTCCAGATATTTGAGCATAAACCCACAGTGTAAGCAAGACCGAATGTGTCATTCTCGGAGCACTGTTATAAAAAGCTTCCTCTTCCTCCCTATTCCTGAGAGGCCTCCAGAGTGAAACAGCAGCCTCCCTGCCCTGTACTGTGAGGACTTTGGGATGCCCACAAGGGGAGTGATCAATCCCCACACTGGAAGGCCAGGCCCTGCATTTGGGAGACTGAACTACAGGGAGGGAGGCAGTGTGGGCTAGTGGATCGAGCACTCTGTTGGGACTTGGGACAACGGAGTTCTATTCCTGGCTCTGCCTCTGGTCTCCTGGGTGACCTTGCACAACTCACTTCCCCTCCCTGTGCTTCAGTTTCCCCATCCATAAAGTCAGGACAATGCAACTCTCAGAGAGTTATTGTATTACAACTTGGGAGACAGCTACAGCTCTTTGTTACAGGTGATGCCTTAACCTACCATAGGAACATGATGTTTTCAACCAAAGAAGGGCTGTGTGTCACAGTGGGGTCATCAAGGCCAGATTAACGCATTGGCAAACTAGGCATGTGCCTAAGGCCCAAGCGTGGTCGGAGGCCCAGTATGTTTTGTTTTTTCCCATGAGAGGCAGCCGGCTAGGCCAAATTAGAGTGAGTGGTGGTATGACCTAGTCAAAGTACTGCTCAGGTTTGGGCCAACCAAACCCTCCATCATGACTATAGATTAACCCCCTGCTTCTGGACTAAGTACTGGTTGGGGGAAGAGCGGGGGTTCCTGCTGCCAGCCCTACCTCTTTGGAGAGGAAAGAGGTCTCTTCGGAGGAAGAAAAGGATGCCCCATGCCATTGTCTGTGACTCCCTGGAAGGGAGGAGGACCCTGCCACCAGCAAGCCAAGTTGGTGGGGGCCATGTCGGGGTACGTCTAGGGCCACGGGTTGCTTTAATCCAGCCCTGGGAGTAATACCAGCGTCCTGAGGCCTGGACTGGGAGTGGGATTTTCTAGTACAGATGTAGCCTGAGGTCCTTGCAGAACTCTTCTATTTGCACCACTGCTCTTTTCCGACATGCCCCCTCCGAGGAATAGTGCTCCTGGCAGAGGTAGCTACCCTCTCTTGCACTCCCCAGTGTACCCAGACAAATTGTCGTCTCCTAGCATGATTATACATTGCCTTCCCACCTCTCTAATTCACCTACTGCACGGCCAGGCATGTTTTTAGCTCTGATGCTATTGAACTGTCTTGTATGTGCCTTTCACAGACTTTTAAAAAAAAAACATAATGGAGCCAGTGTTTGCTTTACTAACAGAGGGGAAAGTTCGCCAATGGCAGATGCGGCTTCCAAGGGCAATGATTCACTAACAGCAGAGGAAAAATTGCATGACAGTGGTAGGAGCTGTAGTAGTGCCTCTGGGAATGGAAGCAGCAGAGGACAGAACCAAAGAGGAGAAGAGAGATGACCTAGTTAGAGCTGGTTGAAATTTCTGGAATTAAGGGAATGTTTACACTGCACTAAAAGACTTTTGTGGCATGACCGCAACTGGCCTGGGTCAGCTGCTAGGTTGGACTCGGGCTGGATCCCAGGCGATGACAGCACATAAAGAGGGAGTCTCAGAGCTCCAGCCCCAGCCTGAGTGTCAACACTGCAATTTTACAGCCCTGCAGCTTAAGCCCTATGAGCCTGAGTCAGCTGACCCAGGCACCAAGACCTAGTGCTCTGGGTTTTTGTCACAGTGTAACCATACCCTAAGAGTTTTTCTAGGGAGAAATAGCTTATTTTTTTTAAAATTTTTAATCTATCACTGACATCATTCTAATGTTTTGTTTGACTGGAAAAAATTCACTATTTTTTACTGAAACTCTTTAGCATTTTTTTATATCAAAAATGTTCTCTGGATGATGCAATTTTTATTTTTTTGTGTGTGTATAGAATGCCAGGGCTTTGGTAAATGAGAACATTCAATGGCATTTTTGCTGATACATATCAGGGGGAAAGAATTGGAAAAAAATATACAAAAAATTAAAAACAAACCCAAAAAACCTTTGAAATGAAAACAACTTAGAAATTTCATTTTTTTTCCCCACAAAACTATTTTTGCCTTATTGTTACCAGCTCTAGTCCTAGTGCATTGCAGTGGCTGAATGTGTAATTTGATGTCTTCCCTTAGTGGGTGGTATACAAAGAAAATGGCCCCTTACACACAGCTAAAAGGTACTTGCTTAGCTCAGGTATTAGGGGCTTGCAGTTATTGTGCTGACAGGTGATGGGCTCTAGCCTTACTTATGACTTTGGGTCCATATGTATTTTACCATTTATTTAGTATTTTACCATTGTACCATATATTTTTTTTACCATTTATTTACTTATGACTTTGGGTCCATATGTATTTTACCATTTATTTGAGCCCATATTTCTACTTTCTGTTACATAAATGGCTGCACATCTCATTGGGTGAGCAGAAAAAAAGACGTAAAAGACAAAACATTATGGTATAAAAAGAATTCATCTGAGCACATCTCCAGCTAAATGATCAAGATGATGATAAATATGCAAGCCTGTATAAGAACTAAGTGTAATTACTATAACTGCCTCCCTGATTGGCTACACGGGCCTAAATTTCATTTCTGACACCTTGTAGGAGTACTTGTGCCCTTTGCCGGTCTTCCAGTTCACCCCATCAGCGTAGCTTTCATGGGCTCCTCTCAAGTATAATCCATTCAGGTTGGACCAATGACATTCCTTGTACCACCAGGCCCCTTTAAAGGATGTTGCACAGTTACCTGAATATAGGTCATTGTCTCGGTCTTGGGTTGTAAACGGCATGTTGTTCTGCATGGTTAATGAATCCCCTGTGGAAACAATTGTGTGTACAGTATTTACCACATGTTTTTACAGTTCAGGTCCCACGGCCCAGCCTGGCAGTTCTGCAGTGGGGTTGCTAAATTTCACCTTTCACCAGGCAATAAAAATCTCCCTGGAGTTCAGGAGCAAGACTGCATTTCTACTTCCTAGAAGGAAGATTTTCCACCAGACCATATTCTGATCTCAGTGACACCACTATAAATCAAGAGAGTAACTCATTGCAGTCAATGCACTCAATGTGCTCCTAACACTAACAGCTTACCAGAGAACGGGTTGAGGATTCAGGTCCAAGGAATCACAGAGTCACAGAGATATAGGGCTGGAAGGGACCTCACGAAGTCACCAAGTCCAGCCCCTTATGTTGAGGGAGGATCAAGTAAACCTAGACCAACCCTGACAGGTGTTCAGCCAATCTGTTTTTAAAACCCCCATTGGTGGGCATTACACATCCTCCCTTGAAAACCTATTCCAGAGCTTTAACTATCCTCATGCTGTAGTTAAAAAGTTTTTCCTCATATCTAACCTAAGTCTCCCTTGTTGCAGATTAAGCCCACAACTTCTTATCCCACCACCAGTGGACATGGAGAAGAATCGATCATCGTCCTCTTTGTATGAGCCCTTGAGACTGTTCTCAGGTCCCCGCTCAGTCTTCATTTCTGAAGACTAAACATGCCCAGCTTTTTTTAACCATTCCTCATAAGTCAGGTTTTCTAACCTTATATCATTTTTGTTGTTCTCCTCTGGACTCTCTCCAGTTTGTCCACATATTTCCTAAAGTGCAGTATGCAAAAGTGGACACAGTACTCCAGCTGAGGCATCACCAGTGCTGAGTTGAATCGAGCAATTACCTCCAGTGTCTTACATGCAATACACGTGTAAATAGATCCCAGAATAATTCACAACAGCATCACATTGTTGTCTCATATTATTTGCGACCCACTCTAACCCTCAGATTCTTTTCAGTGGTGGTACCACCTAGCCCAGGAGATCTCAGACCCAGGGTCATGACACCTCAGGGGGCTGCAAGGTTATAACACGGCGAGCCGCAAGCTGCCAGCCTCCATCCCCAAACCCTGCTTTGCCTCCAGCAATTATAACTATTCTTAGACTTGCTGTGTGAAAGGAGTCACTCTCCCAGCGTGGTGTCATCAGCAAATTTTAAAAGAATAGTCTCCGCTCTATTAGCCCAGTCATTAATGAAAAGATTGAATAATACCAGATACAGGACTGACCCCCGCTAGACTCTACTTGATATTCCCTCGCTGTTTGACAGTGAATCACTGATAATTACGCTTTGCGTATGTTTTCAACCAGTTGTGCAACTATCTTAGAGCAATTTCATCTAGATTTCATTTCCTTAGTTTGCTTGTGAGAATGTCATGTGGGACTGTGTCAAAAGCCTTACTAAAATCAAGATGGATCACCTCTATTGCTTCCCCCTTATTCACGAGGCCAATAACCCTGACAAAAAAGTAAATCAGGTTGGTTTGGCATGATTTCTTCTTGACAAATCAATGCTGGCTCTTCCTTATAATACTATTTTCCTCTAGGTGCTTACAAATTGATTGCTTAATAATTAAAGGATAGGGCTTATGTTTGCACTTCTCCAGTCCTCTGGTATCTCATTCGCCCTCCAGGTGTTCTCAGAGATAATTACTAATGGTTCCTGGGATGAATTTTGTCAGACCCCATTGACTGGAGTACATCTAACTTATTTAAATATTCTTTAATGTGCTCTTTCCCTATTTTGGCTTTCATTCATTCCCCCTTATCGCTGATATTAATTGTGTTGAATATCTGGTCACCATTAACCTTTTTAGTGAAGATTGAACCAAAATAGGCATTAAACACCTCAACCTTCTCAATATCATCAGATAATAGCTCTCCATCCCCACGAAGCAGAGGATCTACACTTTCCTTCATCTTTCTCTTGCTCCTAATGTATTTAAAGAACCTCTTCTTACTGCCTTTTATGTCCCTTGCTAGGTCTAACTCTTTGTGACTTAACCTTTCTGATTTTGTCCCTGTGGGTGATGCTATTCTTTCGTACGCCTCCTTAGCATTTCGTCCATGTTTCCACTGATGGTAGGATCCCTTTTTGATGTCCAGGTCATTGAGGAGCTCCTGATGGAGTCCTAATTGCCTCTTCCTATTCTTCCTACCTTTCCTTCACTTTGGGATAGTTTGCAGTTGTCTCCTTAGGAAATTACCAGCTCTCCTGAACTCCTTTTCCCCCTAGATTGTCTTCCTGTGAGACCTAACCTACCAGTTCTCTGAGTTTGTTAAAGTCTGCTTTTTGAAATCCACTGCCCTTCTTCTGATGCTTTCACTCCTTCCTCTCTTTAGAGTAATAAAGCCATCATTTCATGATCAGTTTCACACAAATTGCCTTCTAACTTCAGATTCACTACCAATTCTTCCCAGTTGGTCAGAATTAAGTCTAAAATGGCTGGTCCCCCTGGTTACTTCCTCTACTTTCTGAAACAAAAAAGTTATCCCCAATATATTCCAAGAATTTACTGGAAATTTTCTGTTTTGCTGTATTACTTTTCCAACAGATGTCTGGGTAGTTATATTCCCCCATTATTATCAGGTCTGGGTTTGCCTATTTTTGCTATTTGTTCTAGAAATATCTCATCTTCCTCGTTTTTACCACTTTTATCTTTATCCAGAGACTGTCAAACGGCCTGCCTCTCACCTTGTTCAAGGCCTCAAAACAAGTGTATATATTCTTGGTGTATAATGCAACACCTTCTCCCTGCCTGTCTCTCCTGAACAAGCTACACCCCTCTATACCAATATTGCTGTAACAATTCTTATCCAACCAAGTCTCTGTGATGCCAGTTAAGTAATAAGAACATAAGAGCGGCCATACTGGGTCAGACCAAAGGTCCATCTAGCTCGGTATCCTGTCTTCTGACAGTGGCCAATGCCAGATGCTCCTGAGGGAATGAACAGAACAGGTAATCATCAAGTGATCCATCCCATGTGCTCTGGCAAACAGAGGCTAGGGACACCATCCCTGCTCCTTCTGGCTAATAGGCATTGATGGACCTATCCTCTATGAACCTATCTAGTTCTTTTTTCAACCATATTATGGTCTTAGTCTTCAGAACATCTCCTGGCAATGAGTTCCACAGGTTGACTGTGCGTTGTGTGAAGAAATACTTCCTTTTGTTTGCTTTAAATCTGCTGCCTTTTAATTTCATCGGGTGACCCCTAGTTCTTGTGTTATGAGAAGGAATAAATAACATTTCCCTATTTATTTTCTCCACACCAGTCATAAGTTTATAGGCCTCTATCATATCCCGCTTTAGCTGTCTCTTTTCCAAGCTGAGACGTCCCCGTCTTTTAAATCTCTTCTCATATGGAAGCTGTTCCATGCCACTAATCATTCTTGTTGCCCTTTTCTGTATCTTTTCCAATTCCTATATATATCTTTTTGAGATGGGATGACCACATCTGCATGCAGTATTCAAGATGTGGGTGTACCATGGATTTATATAGAGGCAATATAATATTTTCTTACTTATTATCTATCCCTTTCCTAATGATTTCCAACATGCTGTTAGCTTTTTAACCCGCCGCCGCCCCCCGGTGGAGGGGGCGGCGTGTCATTATCATCTACACCCAATCTTTTTTTCCTCTGTGGCGCCAATTTTTTACTTTTTTTTTTATATTTAAATTTGTTTTTTTTTTTTTTTTTTTATTTTATTTTTTATTTTTTAAATTTAATTTTTTTTTCTTTTTTTTTGTCTTGCTCCCTCCTTTTTTTTTTTTGTCTTTCTTTCTCTTTTTTTGTTTTCTTCATCTTTATTTTTTTTTATTATTTTTTTTGATTCTTCTTCACCTCTTTTTTTCTTCTTTTTTTCTATATCTATAAAAATTATGAAGAACTAGACCTCTCAAAGTACACACATGGGCCTCCCCACAACACTCCCTCTCTCTTTACTATATAATATCTTATTCTTTTCCTTTTTTTTTTTTTTTTTTTTATTTTATTTTTTATTAAGAAGACTGCTTTTTTTATTGCGTGATTTTTTTTTTATGAAGTTTCTTTTAGAGGTGTTTTTGTCAAATTATTTTTAAAAATCAAAAAAAAATATAACCAAAAAAAGGGGAAAAAAAAGAGGAAGAAGAAAATTTTTAGGTGTATTGGGGAGGCATATTCTTCTATAAAAAAACCATACCAAACCTCCCAAAAAAAATCGTTTTGGTTTTTGTTTTTTAATATTTTTTTTTTTTATATTTTTTAAAAAAATTTACAAAAAAAAAGTTAGGTTCTCCCCCCGCTATCACGGGGGGCCACCTCTGCGCACTTATAAAAAAAAAAAAAAATTCACCACACTAGCTATCACCCACCCTCCTGGGACAGGGGGGCTGTTTAAAATGGAGGGTTACAACCCCAAACTCCAAATTCACATTTTGGGGTCCCTCAAAACTCTTGGGTGAATGCCATCTGGTCCTGGTGACTTATTACTGTTTAATTTATCAATCTGTTCCAAAACCTCCTCTAATGACACCTCAGTCTGGGCCATTTCCTCCAATTTATCACCTAAAAAGAATGGCTCAGGTTTGGGAATGTCCCTCATATCCTCAGCCGTGAAGACTGATGCAAAGAATTAATTTAGTTTCTCCGCAATGGCCTTATCCTCCTTGAGTTCTCCATTAGCATCTCAATTGTCCAGTGGCCCCACTGGTTGTTTAGCAGACTCCCCCCCCCCCCTCCCCCCCCTCCCCCCCCCCCCCACCTAGCCCTCTGTTAAGGCGGCCCTTTTTTATGCTTAGCTGTTGGCTTTTGTCCCCTGCCCCTTTTAAACCTACTTAAAAGCCCTTCTCCCTAGGGGGCTTGTGGGTGTGCCTGAGCAATCCTGCAGTGGTGTGTAGCAGACTCTGCATGCCACAGAATATTCCTGTCTCTGGTATCCGTGAGTCTGGATGAATAGTTTGCCTGAAATGGGGCTTATCTACCCACCCAGTGACTTGTACCAATCCTGGTGTGCCTACTTAGTTTAATTCAGATATTTCTATGGGGCATTAAGATCTAATTTAGGAAAGCAACACAGCAGTAGCTGTGCCTACCTCTGCTTGTTATTCTGCTTCAGTCCCTTCACTAGGCAGGATATCCCTATTATACTATATGTTCTGTTGTCACTAGACCGTGTGTTTCTCCTCTAATAGTTCAGCAGGAGAATAACTGATGTTTCCTGACAGACATCACCTCCACAGATTACCTCGCCTTTTGCTTCTGCCATTGAATATTCTGCATCACTTTTGCTTTCCATTTTTCCATCTGCCACAAAGGGTAAAGGATGAGCTCAGAACCTACCTGCAGTGCCATTCACAAAGGGTCCAATGATCAGCGTGTATTTCTCAGTCTCCCCTGTAATTTTGAACGATGAGAATGTAGCAAATTCATAGTTGTTGTCAAAATCTCTGAGATCGATGCACGAAGCTCATTGGGACCTTTAGAAAACAATTTGAAAGCAAAATGTTCAGCACCTTCCATTAGTGTTTATTACTGTTATTGAATGTTTTTATTGCAGAAGCCCCAAAAGGCTCTACACACAAATCAGGCTCCATTATGTTGGGACCATTATGATCATCTAGTTTGAATTGCCTGCATCACACACATCACAGAATTTCACCCACTGATTCTTGCATCAAGGCAATATCTTCCTATTGACCTTTATCAATTCAATTTCCATCCACCAACCTGACCTCCCTATTAAAAACCTGCTCCATGTTATGCTTTGCGAAGGTAGTTCAGAATCGATGACCTCATCCAGGCTGTAGCATCCCTTATTGCTGTACTGTGGGCGAACCACCCGAGGACAAAATGCTGCTCCAGGAATCATGACTGGATCCAGCCCATCTACCACAGCATTACTGGTTTCAATAGCTTTGTGTGGCAGGACTGGGCTGTAAGGAACAGGAAGGGGTGTCTGCAGCGGAAGTGTTACCTCTACCGATTAGTACAACTCTATACCCTGTGTCCGTGGCTAAAGTGTGGGAACAAAACTTGGTGGAGAAGGTTGCTGTAAGGAAAAGAATGCATCAGTGATGTCTTTACCAAGGGATGTAAGCAGGTGGATATTGTCGTTCCCCAGCCAGAATTCTGACAGCCGGCTGCCAAAACCTCTTTTGTATGAATTCCAGTCACGGTAAAAATCCACAGAGCCATCCACCCGTCTCTGGAACACCTGCAGGGAAACAGGAGGTTCTTAGCTGGGAAATCCCACATTGTTTTCCATCCTACATAGAGCAGAAGACCAGAAACTCTGAGACTGTAAATCATTGGATGAGATTTAACATGGTCAGATCTATTTCAGCCTCAGGTGACTATTGCAGAGGGAGGCTTGTCTCAGAGGATCCTATTAAATCTTGGCAGCAACAGCACTAGGTTAAAGGATCACATGGTCCAGAAATCTACAGCACTGGACTGGCAATCAGGAGGCCTGAGATCTATACCCAGTTGTGCCACTTGAGAAAGTCACAGCACCTCTGCTTTCTGTCCGGCCCTTTGTCTGCCTTGTCTATGGAGACTGTGAGCTGCAAAGGACAGGGGCTGTCTCTCATTATGTGTGTTCAGCACCCAGCGCAATGGGACCCTGATCTTCATCGGATTCTCTAGGCACGACTGGGATATAAATAAGCATAATAATAAATTGGAAGGTTTAAATGTGATGAGTATACAGGGTTCAAACCCCTCATCTCCTCAGCTCCCTAGAACACTCTCTCCACTCATACTCAGAGGTTGCTGAGCGACAGAGCAGCTGATGCCTAGAAGGGGAAGGAAGAAGGAATTCTGGTTCCGGAGTCTGGGCAGCTATTGAGGAGGCTCTGAGAGCCAGGCAGAGAATAGCCAGGAAAAGGGAAACCTGTGTCAGAGCAGTGACAAATGTCCCCTCAGACGGGGTCTTTTAGACTCTAAAGCTCCAGGTTCCCTCCATGAAACCCATTGTGTTCACAACCAAGTTATCTCCACAACCAAGGACTAGGGAGGATTAGAAGGGCTCAGGAAGTGTCTGTGTTTTTATTTCAGCTAACCATGGCGAGCTAACAGCTTCAGAGCTTCTGTCCTCATGCTTTTCTCCTAGCTGCAACCCACTGGCTAAGGGCCACCTCCCATTCTTGGGACAGTAAACTGTTTGTTGTTCAAGAAAAAATATCCAATGAGCTTCATTATGCTCTGTTCTTACAATCCATCCTCCGCCATCTGTGTCCATGTCACACAGCACGGTCATGGCTTTACAGTCACTGGGGTAGATGGTGTACCAGCCGCTCATGCGGATTCCCTCTAGCTAACAGCTCCTTGCAGTTCTTTGCTCCTGGTTGAAAGAGGAATTGAAATATGTAAATTGGTTGTATAACTCTCCTTGGAGCAGGGATTCATGGGCTGCTTTACATTGCACTGAGGGCCAGATCAATTGCAGAATCAGGTAACTCGAAAATAATCTTTGAGCCACCATCTCCTCTCCTCCCCACTGTAGTGTTTGGGAATTGGGTAGTATCCCTTTAAATAGTCAGAGGGTCCCTTTGTGTTCTATCTTTGGAAACCTACCACAGCAGCAGCATACGTACCTAGCGAGGCTTTTCATGCTCTCTGTAGTTAGCAAACAAATGATTTAGACTCCAGTGTGCCAGTCTGGTTTGTATTAACTTTGTTTGCAAGAGGAAAAGATGCAACCACCTGCCTAACCCCATCTGTTCTGTGTGAGAACAGCTCAACCTGAACAGGGGATTGGCTCAAAGCATCTTAAAAACTCATGGAAATTGAAATGTGCACAAAGATTTGTACTGCTAAGTCCCCATGCAGCATTTTGAAATCTCTCTGTGAGTCAGAAGGGCTTCGGGTTATCATGTGACTTGGGTGAGCATTCACCCCAAAAATATCAGATACTCACAGGAATACTCACATCAAACAGTTTGCAAGTGAACCCATCGGCTGAAATGTATTTCCACAAAAGATTCACTGGCCAATTGCTAACAGCAAAACACCTTCATTTTAAAAGATCAAAGTCTCTTTGCTGATAGTTTGAGAACAGCAAATGGGGTAAATCACATGAAGAATTTTTTTGCAATTTGTCTATCTCTAATGGGTTTTGATGTTTGGGTCTCTGGATGGAATGAGATGACATTTAGTGGTCATAAGAAACTCACCTTTCTTACACTGTCTGTCTTCCAGGTCTTCCTCCACTGGTCATGAAAAGAAACACAATAGAAAGTGAAATGGAACCAGAAAATGTTCTACTGTCTTTTAAACTATGTAATTGGCCAACAGTGACAGCTGGGTTAGCAAAGTACTCGTTATCTTGAAAATGCACTAGACAGGTTTTTAATTTTGAAAATCCAAGTGCTAATGGATTCACACACATCTCTGATCTGAGCCTTCCAGCCTGAACCATCAAGACAGCTCTCATTAGGTAGCTAATGCTATTTTATAACCCTCTCATGAGGCTCCTACTTGCAGGGCTTAAGAATTGGTCCTTAATAGACTAAGTTAATTGCTGGTCAGTTCATAGGAGCAATGCCCACAAAGTCAGGGGAGTTGCATGTGCTTACGCTAGCTGTGAACTTGACTCAATATTCTTTTTAAAAAAAAATTCCAAGTGACAATGGGAGAATAACAGTTAAATAAAGTACTAGTAGAAAAAGGGTCGTTCCTTTAACTAGACATGTAAATAGGATCCATTTCTTGTGATTCATACTCCCCACTCCTGGTATGTGGGAAATATAAGGAGGGGTAGGAGAAAGTAACCTTCTCTAGGATACACCTCCAGATCTACAGATTTCACTTACATTTCAGCTGTTCTCTCTCATACCAAAGGTCATCTGGCTAGTGTTGTTCCGGATGTTACAACACATGGATGGCCACCTGTTTTTGTAGGCACAGCTATTTCTCTCTTTATAGAGCCCAAATCTTACAGGAGGATCAGTGAGCTTGATATTGTGGACATGGTAACTATTCAAGAAACAAGCTTCTTCAGCCTCTTAATTTTTAGTGCTGCAAAAATGGAACTGAAATGATGTGTTCAGTATAAAGGAGAGTGCAGAGGGTCTCACCAAGTGTTCCAGGGACTCCTGTAGCTCCCGGGCTCCTTTATCTCCTAAAAAAAGAACTCAGAATAAAATCCTTGTTTTACCTGGAGGTCACCTCCATAATTCACCATCTCACTACAGCAATCGCTTGGGTTTCATTGTGTGGAGGGGCTAGTTCAAGGCCTATGTACCAGCTACACTCCGCACAATCTGTTAAAGTTGGCGTTTTGTGGGACTTAAGTGATGTATGTTGCCAACTCTCAGGATTTGGTCATGAGTCTCATGATAATTATTGTTTTCCTTAAAGCCCCAGCTCCTCGGGTCCAGTGGATGTGACATGATTTCAGCCTTCGGTCTTAAAGAAAAAGTAAGTTTCTAGCCCTCAAAGCTACAGTGAAAGCTTCAAAATGTGACCCCCAGTGCCCCCTAAATACTCAAAAAGCAGAAGGCAAATAAAAAGAACACCAGATCTATTATTTTTACATAATCTCATGATTCTAAAACCAGTCTCCGGATTTTTGATGAACCTAACTTAAGTTTTTCAAAGATTTGGGGTTGGCAGAACTGCATTTATCTTATCTTGTCTTCTGCATTGGCTGAAATGAAATAGGCTTAGGCCTATGTCTACACTGCAGTTGAGATCTATTTCCTGTGACTGCATTGGACCTCATGACATATCAGACATTATAATTAGAGCTGGGTGAAATTTTTCAGCAAATATTTTATTCACAATTTTGAAATGTTCCAACTCTTCATTTTGGAACAACAGCTGTGTTTTGTCATTTGGCTATTAAACAAAAAAAAAGGGGACATTCTTGTTTAACCAGAACCAATTTCATTTCAGCTTTTTTGTTTGGCAAGAAGCTGAAAGGAAAAATTGTATAATGAAACGGGGAGGAGGGATTGTTGGTCCCAATTCCTCTATCACCGTGAATAGCACCATAAAGTGCCCTGCTCTGCAGTGAGAAGAATCATCTGAGGTCTCTCACCTTTCACTCCAGGGCGGCCAGCAGGACCTCTTTCTCCTGATTGAACAAAAAATAAGAAAGTAAAGACTGATCAGAGATAGCGAGATCTTGACACTCGATCAGAACTGAAGTTCTGTTGCAATAATAAACCCTTTATTGTCAAATATAGAGTGAAGGGAAGTTATGGTGGTTTTGGAGCCCAGATATTATAGGAATTGGTATTTTATAACTAGCTCTAATTGATATTTGATTAAAAACTTATTTCCTGTTCTTAGGTCACCTATAGGAAAACACAGTTCTCTGCCCTTTGTTACTTTACCTTTTGGGCCAGTTTTCCCCTCCTTTCCGGGGATCCCCGGAGGTCCCCGTTCTCCTGCAAACACAGAAAACTGACTGAATATTTTCCAAGGTAGCGTAAATACTGAGTATATAATCCCCACCCACCACCCCAATCTGGAATTACAAGAACTCATCTGTGTCGAAATTCAAAGCCTGTATCTGCATCTGGCTCGTTGAGTCCCTGATCTCACATCAGGATCCCCTAGCATGGACTCTTACATGGAGGCCCATTGAAGTCAAAGGGACAAGCACATCTTGCTGCCAGGTGAGAACCAAAGCTGATAAACAACCATTTTATACATGCTACCATTAAAAATGTCAATGGCTCATGACAATAATCATGATTTCGCTCTTCTCTAGCCCCTCTCATCCAAACTTCTCAGAGCGCTTTTCACAGATCAATGAAATGTGCCTCAGATAACCTCTGGGAGGTAAAGGACCATTATCGCCATTATATAGAGGAGAAAATTGAGGCTCAAAGAGAGTGACTTGACTAAGGTGACACAGTGAGCCAGTGACAGAGATGGAGAAAGAACCAGAAGACTTGGTTGCCAATCTGACACCCCAAAGGGAATGGACAGTATTTCAGAGCTTGGTTATTCTGAAGCTCCAATCCCTTGCCATAGGATATGGGAGATGCCATGAGTTTCCTCATATCAGGGTTGAGGGGAATCTCCAAAGTCTGAGCATATTACAAAAGTAATTCCCATTTACATCAGCACCAGTCATGCCTGATTCCCATTCAGTGCCTGGGAATGTACCTCTCATTCCTGCATTTCCTGGGTCTCCTTTGGGACCTGTGGCACCTGGAATTCCAGGGCAGCCTTGGAGAATGGAGAGTTTATCGGTACTGTTGAGACCCACTAAGCTCACCTCTGGGGAAAGAAATGAACCCATAATCAATGATTGTTAGCTTCTCAGGATCTGAAACATTCTGCAGAAATCCAGAGGGATAAACCCAGCAAATGAAAGCTTAGATAGTTCCTTGATTTTCTTTTCTCTATTAGTGATAAATTCAACATTTTCTTCAGTTTTATGCATTTCAGAGACAATGCCCTAATATTAAAAGTTGGGGGTTATTACTATTAGTCTTTGTTTTAAGTTATAGTGGAAACAAAAGTTAAAAAGAAGTTATTAAATATTTGTATTAAAAGAAATCACTTCACACTTAATTTTGATGTACACATCCCTCTGCAGTGTTTGCAACCTGACCATTGCAGCATTGTGTCAGTTCATGAGAATCTTTAAGGAAATTAACTACAGAGAAACAAAAATTACACAGACTAGCCGGTTTTCATTGTGCAAGCAGAATGAAATGCAGAGAAAAAACAAATAGCTGCCATTCAGTGAAGAAATTAATTTAAAAAACAGTTGTTCTCACAAGCGCAGGAATACATTTTAAAGAACTAAATATGTTTTTTAACCTAACAGCCCCTCCTATATTATACATATTGTGAGATTTAAAATTATTTACAGGGACATCAGTGGAGAAAAATAGGGACATACCTGTCAACTCCATTGTATTGATGTGGAAATTTTTGAGGTAACAAAATGTGGACATGGGTAATATTACCTGTGATATGACCCTCCTCCTCCTAATCTGGAACATTTGGACAACTGATTTTGAAAATGATCATGAACGTAAGGAGATGAAACGTGAAGGCAGTACTGCTCTGAAATAATACATTAATTTATGCATAAGATGGCAAAGCCTGTATTCAATCCTTGTTTAGCAAACCACCCATTTCCTTCAAAGAGACCATTTGCCTTGAATGAGGTCTCCACAAATTTGACTAAATCTTGCATAAGGATCACAGGATTTCATGATGAACTAAAATAAACCTTCAAATGCTGCTGGATTCTCAACCCAAAGCACAGAAATGAATGTGTTGACATGGACAAAGAGTTGTATAGTGGATTTGCAGTGATAGATACACAGTACTAGTTGCGATTTTATAAATAATTATCTTAATTTGGTAAACATGAATTTTTAAAAGCAGAAGGATCTTAAATCACAGGCTCACTCTGAGCTTTGAAGATTGAGATTTTATTTTCCAGAATTTAGCTCATCTGCCTGTGTGGGTTGGTCAGTCACCAGATTAGAAAGGCTTTGGCCCCAATATCCAAAGGAGAAGGGAGCTTTAGACAGAGAAATTCCAGCAGCAACATAGGGAGGTTAGAAGATTAGTAAATGAGCATGAGGGAGAAGCAGGTCAAAATGTCAGAATTTTAGAAGAATCTCAAAGGAGACAAGAGACAACATTTTCACAACATGGTTTGCAAAAACTGTCCTATTTTCTGAACACCTCTCGTCTGTGTTGTGCACTTCTGAATACAGATTGATTAATTTCTACAAAGGAATTTTGTACAAAGAAGCTGTTCTTTTTATCATTTTAAAAGCACCCTGAGCAGACAAAGCACTTTATAGACGTGTAGGACAACAAACATTCCTGAACAGTTCCCAGTTCTCCAGGGTCCAGGTTGGCAAGAGCCACAGTATGAAATGCTGTTGGGAACAGGGATTGTCTTTCACTCACCTGGGCAGGTGTCCTGAGCCTGACAAACCGTTGCTGCTAGACAGAGTAAAGAGAGGAGAGTTTTCTGAGCAGCTCTCCCCATGGCTGGTGCTGGTCTCTGCAAGGACAGCTCCACTTGTCTTCTCACCTTCTCCTCTCCTTTAGTATTTCAGTCCCTTTAAGCCTTTTATATGCAATAACAATAGAGCCTAGAGCAAATAAAGCTCTCGCCTCTCATCTCAGCGCCACCTTCCCATACTCCACATTCCAGCAGTTTCCACTGAGATTTTTTTGCAACATAGACAAGTGGTCACAACTGGAGCTGATCTAAATGGCCTTGATAGGAGACGTTCAATACTGGACTAGCAGCCGCTGCTTCCTCCACACGGCAAATGCAGTATCGTGCAATGACGATTACTGAACGGAGCCAGTCTGAATCTTTCCTCACAAAGTTGATTCCTGTTTATGTGTCTTCTGAAAGAGTAAAATAGGGTGCCAAATAATGAGCCCAAACTGACTTTCTCCATCCTGTCGAAGCCCCCTGTTGGCTTCAGTGGGAAACTTTGGGTGAACCAGGGGAGCAGGATTGGGTGAACTTAATATCCAACTGTGTTCTTGTTATTTTTTGTATGACAGTAGCCACAGGAGGCCTCATATCGGCTTGGAGCCCCACTGTGCCGAGCGTTGTACAAGCCCACAGTAGGAGACAGTAACAGATTGCTAGATTCCAAGGCCAGAAGTGACCATTGTGATTATCTAATCTGATCTCCTGTATAACACAGACTCCTAGATAAATGATTTCTAGAGCTGATCTTTTAGAAAAACAGCCAATCTTGATTTTAAAATGGTCAGTAATGGAGAATCCATCATGACCCTTGGGAAATGAGTCCAATAGTTAATTACTCTCACCATAATTTCCAGTCTGAATTTCTCTAGGCTTAATTTAAGAACATAAGAACGGTCATACTGGGTCAGACCAAAGGTCCATCAAGCCCAGTACCCCCTCCCCCCACAGCGGCCCCAGGGAGGCCCCCCAAAAGAAAAGAAAAAAACAGGGAAACCCCCCCCGTCGCCAATCCCCACCTTCTGGCAAAAAGGGGCCGGGGCCCCACCCCCCCCCCCCCTGGCTAATAGCCACTGATGGACCTATCCCCCATGAACTTCCAGCCAACCCTGCCCCAAAGATGCTACAATCTAAATAGACAAGACAAATGAAGGATGGGAGAAAAGAAAGGTTGTTATTTTTGCAGTACTATACGGCCCCAGATCTACTGAGGCAGTGCTGCTGCATTTTCTGATACGTACATGTGATTTTTCAGTGATTGCCACATGTTGGATGCTCCTGAGGGCAGATCACTGCCATGGTTTATTTCTTTATGTGCTTCTGTGTCTGCATGACTCCAATCTGTAGAGCAAGAATGCCACTATTCTCCCTGGGTGCAATGGGTATTTCCTCTTTACACTGGGGAAGCATGATTAATATTGTATTGTGGTTTCTGGTCTCACACAGGTTTCGTGTGATAGACCTTGTGCTGCAGGATTTATCTTGGGCAGGATCTGCTTCTTTGGGCATGCCATTGCATGTCAGATGGGTTGTACCATCAGTGAATGTTAGTTTGTCCTCTTCTCCAACTGCCAGGGTATGTATTTTACTCATGGGTGGGACATCAGCAGGAGGAATTGAACCTGGGGCTTCTGTAGCTAACCATATAAGTTACTGACAGTTCATCCGATGAAGTGAGCTGTAGCTCACGAAAGCTCATGCTCAAATAAATTAGTTAGTCTCTAAGGTGCCACAAGACCTCCTTTTCTTTTTGCGAATACAGACTAACACGGCTGTTACTCTGAAACATATAAGTTACTGCCTCTTTAGCCGAAATACTCAGGTATGTAGCCTACAGTGCTGTAGTAGACTCATCAACCTCTGTCTGTGGCCCAGCCATCACCAGATGAGGACAGAGCACCACACAGCGAGAGGAGGATACAGCCGGGGAGGGGTGAAATTTGGATGGCTGCAACTAGCCAACCCCATCTTACCTGATGTTGGTGCAATGCCTTTGAAAATGTGCTGTGGGAAAATGTGCTAGGCACCGTTCACTTCTCTGCCAGTCCCAGTGATGGACTTAGCTGGCATCATGATGCTGGACCCAGCTCTCCCAGTTGCTGTCACAATACACACGCCCAGTGTCAGATGACCCTGCTATTGGACAGAGAATCTGTTTTATACACTGTCACACTCTTTTTTTCACCAGAGGCCAGTCCACTGCGACCCAACACAATCACTCTTCTGTGTCTGAGATGAGATCTTTGGGGCAGGGACTGCCTTTGTGTTCTGTACTTGTACAGTGCCAAAGACAACAGGATGTTGTGACTGGTGTTCCTAGGTGCTACCATAATCCAAATAATAAACTATTAAGATAAGTAATAATTCCCCTTCATTGTGAGCCCAGGGGGGCATAGGGTTCATTCAGAGCTTCCCAGGGGCAGCTTGAAATTACTATCCCCCGTAGCAGGGCCATCGCATGGCCATGGACCAGCTGGATATTGGCCACACCTCTTTCCTGAGCAGCTCAATTTTTAACAGTCCACATCTCTTTATCCCTGCCATTGGTCCTTCTTACATGAGCTACAGGATGGGCAGTTTTGCCATTGACCTCGGTGGGAGCAAGATAGGGCCTCTTATGCTTTTGTAAAACTTGGTGTCCGCGACTCCCCACCTGGTCTAATGAGTACAAACATGGAGTGAGCCCACCGATGTTAATGGAGTCACTCTGCGGTAATCAGGGCTGGATTAATGCATAGGCCATCTGGGCACGTGCCTACGGCCCAAATTCAGGGATTGGGAGGGAGGGATTGTTGTGTTGTTTTGCTTTGACCATGATAGAGTGAGGACCAAGCATCATAATGGAGGCTGGCTGGGCCAAATGTGACCTGACATGTGGGGTTGCAGCCAATGCTCAGGTTAGGCCCAGCTGCCCCTCCATCATGACTACAGAATAAACCCCTGCTTCCTGGGTAAGTACTGGAGGACTCTCCTGCTGCTAGCGCTACCTCTTTTAGAGGGAAGAGGCTCCTGCTTCTGGGGAAGAAAAGGATACCTCATGCCTGTCATAAATATAAAGGGAAGGGTAACCACCTTCCTGTATACAGTGCTATAAAATCCCTCCTGGCCAGAGGCAAAACCCTTTCACCTGTAAAGGGTTAAGAAGCTAAGATAACCTCGCTGGCACCTGACCCAAAACGACCAATGAGGGGACAAGATACTTTCAAATCTGGAGTGGGGGGGACAAAGGGTTCTGTCTGTCTGTGCGATGCTTTTGCCAGGAACTGATCAGAAATGAAAGCCTTCCAACTCCTGTTAAGTTAGTAAGTAATCTAGCTAGAACATGCGTTAGATTTTCTTTTGTTTAATGGCTAGTAAAATAAGCTGTGCTGGAGGGAATGTGTATTCCTGTTTTTGTGTCTTTTTGTAACTTAAGGTTTTGCCTAGAGGGATTCTCTATGTTTGGCATCTGATTACCCTGTAAGGTATTTACCATCCTGATTTTACAGAGGTGATTCATTTACCTTTTCTTTAATTAAAATTCTTCTTTTAAGAACCTGATAGATTTTTCATTGTTCTTAAGATCCAAGGGTTTGGGTCTGTGTTCACCTGTACTAATTGGGGAGAATTATTCTCAAGCCTTCCCCAGGAAAGGGGGTGTAGGGCTTGGGGGGATATTTTGGGGGAAGATGTCTCCAAGTGTTCTCTTTCCCTTTTCTTTGTTTAAAACGCTTGGTGGTGGCAGCATACTGTTCAAGGACAAGGCAAAGTTTGTACCTTGGGGAAGTTTTTAACCTAAGCTGGTAAGAATAAGCTTAGGGGGTCTTTCATGCAGGTCCCCACATCTGTACCCTAGAGTTCAGAGTGGGGAAGGAACCTTGACAATGCCACTGCTGGTGAATCCCCTGGAAGGGAAGAAGGGCCCTGCCACTTGCATTCCAAGTTGGCAGAGGCCATTTTGGGGTATGCATGGGGACATGGATTGCTTTAATGTGGCCCTGAGGGCAGGTTAAAGGGTTAGAGCATGGTCATCAAACATGCAGCATGGGGCCCAATGGTCACATCACCATAGGCTTTTATTTTGAATCATAAAACATTTTTTAAAAACCACAAAACATGCGTCTCTGTGTCCCGCAGGAAGAGGAGGCTACGGAAACGACATGTACCAGCAGCAGCCCCTCCAGCACTGGCCCATGCCCAGTGGCTGCGGCCCCTGCAGGATGGGGAAGGAAACTTCTACTACCAGCAGCCAGTGCTGGCCATGCTCAGATGCTGCGGCATTTTGCAATGGCATTGCAGGGCGGGTGGCAGAGGCGACAGAGGGTCAAGTCCCCCCCTCTCCCCCGATTGGCCAGCCCTCACCGCCACCTCCCCAGCCAGGTTCTCTCAGGCAGCTGCTGTGCTGCACAGCCCGGAGCGGCCCGCTTCAGCTGGTGTGAGAAGTGGCTCCATCCCGCTCCCCACCCAGACCCGGCTGCCAGGGAGAGCGGCCAACCGTGCCGGAGGGGAGGCGCAGTGGGAGAAGGACAAAGCCTCCCCCGTCTGCAGGTAACGTGGGACAGGGAGAACACGATGGACCCAGGCTGGGCTGCAGGGTGGGGGGTCACTGGGCAGAGGCAACACGGGGTGGGGCGTTCACGTGTCCTCCCCTTTAGATTGTGGGGGAGGAGCAGGAGTCGTCTGTGCCTGGGAGCCCTATAAGAATTGGGGCTGATGGCCAGGGACGGGGTTAGACATGTGCAACCCGTGCAATGGCAGGAGCCCTGAGCCAGCCAAGGGGCCCCCTGCCATGGCGACTGCGTCGGGTGCTTGTGAAGGTGGGGTCAGGAATCAAGCGGGAGAAGGTAGACGACAGGGGCAGATGAATAGCTGGGCCAGACTCAGGGCTGCTTGGCCGTACAACGTCTGCCCAGCGCAGGCCGCTGCTGTTGTTGGGGGCCTGCTGGAACCCCGAGGAAGAGCCGTGCTCTGAGCCCCACGGCCCACATTTGAATTTGCTCCGGGGGGGACGACTCCAAAAGGGTGGCTCTGTTGCAGTGGCGGAGTCAGCATAGGATATTTGGGTGGGCAGGTAATTCCGGGGTGGGGCTGGGAAGGCAGGAGGGATGGGGGACCTGCCTCCCACCAAGCCTGCAGCCGGCATGGCCAGGGG